GTAGCCAGTGTTGTGTTGTGTTGTTTATAGTGGCTCAGTAGCCAGTGTTGTGTTGTGTTGTTTATAGTGGCTCAGTAGCCAGTGTTGTGTTGGTTATAGTGACTCAGTAGCCAGTGTTGTGTTGGTTATAGTGACTCAGTAGGCAGTGTTGTGTTGTGTTGTTTATAGTGACTCAGTAGCCAGTGTTGTGTTGGTTATAGTGGCTCAGTAGCCAGTGTTGTGTTGTTTATAGTGACCCAGTAGCTAGTGTTGTGTTGTTTATAGTGGCTCAGTAGCCAGTGTTGTGTTGGTTATAGTGACTCAGTAACCAGTGTTGTGTTGTTTATAGTGACTCAGTAGCCAGTGTTGTGTTGGTTATAGTGGCTCAGTAGCCAGTGTTGTGTTGTTTATAGTGACTCAGTAGCTAGTGTTGAGTTGTTTATAGTGACTCAGTAGCCAGTGTTGTGTTGTTTATAGTGACTCAGTAGCCAGAGTTTTGTTGTTTATAGTGACTCAGTAGCCAGTGTTGTTTTGTGTTGTTTATAGTGGCTCAGTAGCCAGTGTTGTGTTGTTTATAGTGACTCAGTAGCTAGTGTTGTGTTGTGTTGTTTATAGTGGCTCAGTAGCCAGTGTTGTGTTGTTTATAGTGACTCAGTAGCTAGTGTTGTGTTGTTTATAGTGACTCAGTAGCCAGTGTTTGTTTATAGTGACTCAGTAGCCAGTGTTGTGTTGTGTTGTTTATAGTGGCTCTGTAGCCAGTGTTGTGTTGTTTATAGTGGCTCAGTAACCAGTGTTGTGTTGTTTTTAGTGGCTCAGTAGCCAGTGTTGTGTTGTTTATAGTGGCTCAGTAGCCAGTGTTGTGTTGTTTATAGTGGCTCAGTAGCCAGTGTTGTGTTGGTTATAGTGACTCAGTAACCAGTGTTGTATTGGTTATAGTGGCTCAGTAGCCAGTGTTGTGTTGGTTGTAGTGACTCAGAAGCCAGTGTTGTTTTGTTTATAGTGGCTCAGTAGTCATTGTTGTGTTGGTTATAGTGACTCAGTAGCCAGTGTTGCGTTGGTTATAGTGGCTCAGTAGCCAGTGTTGTGTTGGTTATAGGGACTCAGTAGCCAGTGTTGTGTTGGTTATAGTGACTCAGTAGCCAGTGTTGTGTTGTTTATTGTGGCTCTGTAGCCAGTGTTGTGTTCGTTATAGTGGCTCAGTAGCCAGTGTTGTGTTGTTTATAGTGGCTCAGTAGCCAGTGTTGTGTTGTTTATAGTGGTTCAGTAGCCAGTGTTGTGTTGTTTATAGTGGCTCAAGAGCCAGTGTTGTGTTGGTTATAGTGACTCAGTAGCCAGTGTTCTGTTGGTTATAGTGACTCAGTAGCCAGTGTTGTGTTGTTTATAGTGACTCAGTAGCCAGTGTTGTGTTGTGTTATTTATAGTGGCTCAGTAGCCAGTGTTGTGTTGGTTATAGTGACTCAGTAGCTAGTGTTGTGTTGCTTATAGTGACTCAGTAGTCAGTGTTGTGTTGGTTATAGTGACTCAGTAGCTATTGTTGTGTTGTTTATAGTGGCTCAGTAGCCAGTGTTGTGTTGTTTATAGCGACTCAGTAGCTAGTGTTGTGTTGTTTATAGTGACTCAGTAGCCAGTGTTGTGTTGTTTATATTGGCTCAGTAGCCAGTGTTGTGTTGTTTATAGTGACTCAGTAGCCAGTGTTGCGTTGATTATAGTGACTCAGTAGCCAGGGTTGTGTTGGTTATAGTGACTCAGTAGCCAGTGTGGTGTTGTTTATAGTGACTCAGTAGCCAGTGTTGTGTTGTGTTGTTTATAATGGCTCAGTAGCCAGTGTTGTGTTGTTTATAGTGGCTCAGTAGCCAGTGTTGTGTTGGTTATAGTGACTCAGTAGCTATTGTTGTGTTGGTTATAGTGGCTCAGTAGCTAGTGTTATGTTGGTTATAGTGGCTCAGTAGCCAGTGTTGTGTTGTTTATAGTGGCTCAGTAGCCAGTGTTGTGTTGTTTATAGTGGCTCAGTAGCCAGTGTTGTGTTGTTTATAGTGACTCAGTAGCTAGTGTTGTGTTGGTTATAGTGGCTCAGTAGCCAGTGTTGTGTTGTTTAGAGTGACTCAGTAGCCAGTGTTGTTTTGTGTTGTTTATAGTGGCTCAGTAGCCAGTGTTGTGTTGTTTATAGTGGCTCAGTAGCCACTGTTGTGTTGGTTATAGTGACTCAGTAGCCAGTTTTGTGTTGTTTATAGTGACTCAGTAGCCAGTGTTGTGTTGTGTTGTTTATAGTGGCTCAGTAGCCAGTGTTGTGTTGTGTTGTTTATAGTGGCTCAGTAGCCAGTGTTGTGTTGGTTATAGTGACTCAGTAGCCAGTGTTGTGTTGGTTATAGTGACTCAGTAGGCAGTGTTGTGTTGTGTTGTTTATAGTGACTCAGTAGCCAGTGTTGTGTTGGTTATAGTGGCTCAGTAGCCAGTGTTGTGTTGTTTATAGTGACCCAGTAGCTAGTGTTGTGTTGTTTATAGTGGCTCAGTAGCCAGTGTTGTGTTGGTTATAGTGACTCAGTAACCAGTGTTGTGTTGTTTATAGTGACTCAGTAGCCAGTGTTGTGTTGGTTATAGTGGCTCAGTAGCCAGTGTTGTGTTGTTTATAGTGACTCAGTAGCTAGTGTTGAGTTGTTTATAGTGACTCAGTAGCCAGTGTTGTGTTGTTTATAGTGACTCAGTAGCCAGAGTTTTGTTGTTTATAGTGACTCAGTAGCCAGTGTTGTTTTGTGTTGTTTATAGTGGCTCAGTAGCCAGTGTTGTGTTGTTTATAGTGACTCAGTAGCTAGTGTTGTGTTGTGTTGTTTATAGTGGCTCAGTAGCCAGTGTTGTGTTGTTTTATAGTGACTCAGTAGCTAGTGTTGTTTTTGTTTATAGTGACTCAGTAGCCAGTGTTTGTTTATAGTGACTCAGTAGCCAGTGTTGTGTTGTGTTGTTTATAGTGGCTCTGTAGCCAGTGTTGTGTTGTTTATAGTGGCTCAGTAACCAGTGTTGTGTTGTTTTTAGTGGCTCAGTAGCCAGTGTTGTGTTGTTTATAGTGGCTCAGTAGCCAGTGTTGTGTTGTTTATAGTGGCTCAGTAGCCAGTGTTGTGTTGGTTATAGTGACTCAGTAACCAGTGTTGTGTTGGTTATAGTGGCTCAGTAGCCAGTGTTGTGTTGGTTGTAGTGACTCAGAAGCCAGTGTTGTGTTGTTTATAGTGGCTCAGTAGTCATTGTTGTGTTGGTTATAGTGACTCAGTAGCCAGTGTTGCGTTGGTTATAGTGGCTCAGTAGCCAGTGTTGTGTTGGTTATAGGGACTCAGTAGCCAGTGTTGTGTTGGTTATAGTGACTCAGTAGCCAGTGTTGTGTTGTTTATTGTGGCTCTGTAGCCAGTGTTGTGTTCGTTATAGTGGCTCAGTAGCCAGTGTTGTGTTGTTTACAGTTGCTCAGTAGCCAGTGTTGTGTTGTTTATTGTGGCTGAGTAGCCAGTGTTGTGTTCGTTATAGTGGTTCAGTAGCCAGTGTTGTGTTAGTTATAGCGACTCAGTAGCCAGCGTTGTGTTGGTTATAGTGATTCAGTAACCAGTGTTGTGTTGGTTGTAGTGGGTCAGCAGCCAGTGTTGTGTTGGTTAAAGTGGTTAGTGGTTCTGAAGCCAGTGTTGTGTTGTTTATAATGGCTCAGCAGCCAGTGTTATGTTGTTTATAGTGGCTCAGTAGCCAGTGTTGTGTTGGTTATAGTGGTTCAATAGCCAATGTTGTGTTGGTTATAGTGACTCAGTAGCCAATGTTTTGTTGGTTAAAGTGGTTAGGGGTTCAGAAGCCAGTGTTGTGTTGTTTATAATGGCTCAGCAGCCAGTGTTGTGTTGTTTATAGTGGCTCAGTAGCCAGTGTTGTGTTATTTATAGTGGCTCAGTAGCCAGTGTTGTGTTGTTTATAGTGCCTCAGCAGTCAGTGTTGTGTTGTTTACAGTGGCTCAGTAGCCAGTGTTGTGTTGGTTATAGTGGCTCAGTAGCCAGTGTTGTGTTGTTTATAGTGCCTCAGCAGTCAGTGTTGTGTTGTTTACAGTGGCTCAGTAGCCAGTGTTGTGTTGGTTATAGTGACTCAGCAGCCAGTGTTGTGTTGTTTATAGTGGCTCAGTAACCAGTGTTGTGTTCTTTATAGTGGCTCAGTTGCCAGTGTTGTGTTGGTTATAGTGGCTCACTAGCCAGTGTTGTGTTGTTTATTGTGGCTTAGTAGCCAGTTCTGTGTTGTTTATAGTGACTCAGCAGCCAGTGTTGTGTTGCTTATAGTGGCTCAGTAACCAGTGTTGTGTTCTTTATAGTGGCTCAGTTGCCAGTGTTGTGTTGGTTATAGTGGCTTAGTAGCCAGTGTTGTGTTGATTTTAGTTGCTCAGTTGCCAGTGTTGTGTTGGTTATAGTGGCTTAATAGCCAGTGTTGTGCTTTATAGTGGCTCATTAGCCAGTGTTGTGTTGTTTATTGTGGTTCAATAACCAGTGTTGTGTTGGTTATAATGGCTCAGTATCTAGTGTTGTTGTGTTGGTTATAGTGATTAAGTATCCAGTGTTGTTGTTTTGGTTGTAGTGGCTCAGTAACCAGTGTTGTAGTGACTCAGTAGCCAGTGGTGCATTATTTATAGTGGCTCAGTAGCCAGTGTTGTGTTAGTTATAGTGGCTCAGAAAGTGATGTGTTGGTTAAAATGGCTCAGTATACAGTGTTATTGGTTATAGTGGCATGATACACTAGGCTGTCTTTGATGGAGAGTCAGATTGCAGGATGAGTGCAACATGTACACTCATGTTTTGTTTACGTTGCAGGACGAGCGCAACACGTGCATTGTTTTGTTTACGTTGCAGGACTAGTGTTACACGTGTATTAATGTTTTGTTTACGTTGCAGGACGAGTGCAACATGTGTATTAATGTTTTGTTTACGTTGCAGGACGAGTGCAACATGTGTATTAATGTTTTTTTTACGTTGCAGGACGAGTGTTACACGTGTATTAATGTTTTGTTTACTTTGCAGGAGGACGGCGGAGCACGGGCGTGGAGGGCCAGGTGGTACACTTCCACGTGGCGGTGCCGGTGAGACGTGTCTATCACCACGCACACGACGTGAAGCTGGCCACGTGTCGCTTGTGGAAGACCGGCGGGCCGGCACCACACGACCCGTCGCACGACACAGTCACCGTCACCCTCTACCAGATGAACAGCCTCAACCGGCGCAGGCGACGCCGCAAGCAGGATCCTGTCCTCATACAGTCTCTCAATGTGTCCGTGACGGGCGATGAGTGGCTGACCGTGGACGTGACGGACACGGTGCGAGACTGGCTGGAGACGCCGCGGGAAGACGCCGGCGTCCTGGTGCAGTGCCCTGACTGCGGTGCCGCTGGCGTCACCATACACACGGGCGCAAGCACCTCTAACACGTCGTATGTACCCACGCTGGACGTGCAGACTCAGGTGCCAGCCGGGCGGAGAGTGAAGCGATCACCGGAGCTGAAGCGGGCAACCAAAGCCAAGTGGCGCCGGAACGGCGACTGCCGTGACATGAATCCCAGCGAGCGCCACCGTCGCTCGCGCTGCTGCCGGCGCTCCATGAAGGTCCGCTTCAAGGACCTCCCCGACTTCGATTTCGTGGAATCTCCGGACATATTCGACGCGTTCTACTGCAGCGGGAGGTGTCCGCCCCGCTACAACCCAGCCAACGAACATGCGCTGCTACAGTCACTGCTAAAAATGAAACACAAGAAGAAGATCCCCAGGCCGTGCTGCGCCCCCACTGCGCTGAAGGGACTGCATATCCTGCACTTCAACGACCAGGGAAAGCTCACTACCACTTACTGGGATGACATGATCGTCACAGAGTGCGGCTGCGCCTGAGACAGCCACCGTCTTAGTCCAGTAGCAGCAGAGTCCGGGCTGTGTCCCGCGCCAGAGGGTGCCCGCCGCAGCCGCAGCCGCAAGGGTGCTCCTCACTAGTCACTCCCACTACGCTTCCTGAACCGGCAGGGTGACGTCGCCAGGATGAGCCGCTGCCGACGGCGTCTAGCAGGCAGCCCCCAGCGGCTGCCTCGCCGTCTGACCCACAGTGTGCTCCGTGTTATAGTGTTCAGGCGTACGCTCCGGTGTTCCGTGTTCCGTGTACGTGACTTTGTTCCTCCATGCATCATGGTGTTCCTTAGTTGACTGGCAACTCGCAGAAGGACTAAACATTCCGCTATATCAGGCGGTAGTGTGTGTTAATGTGTACATAGAGTACTGCCCTTTCTCCCTCCCACAACCCAGCGCCTTTTCCCAGAGTCCAGAAGCCTCCTCTTTATCTCAGCACACTTCCCTGCAACTCATCTCGTCTCCCTCCTCAGCCAACTCCTGACGTTTCCTCACTTCAGTATTGTCTCTCACTTATATATACTCAGTCACCCCACAACCATCCCTCTATCCTGAACCACTCTTCATACACCCCACAACCATCCTGAACTGCCCTCTCCTCCCTACTCATAGACGCTGGGAATCTTGAGTTGTCATGTTTGATGTTGTGGACTCAGACAGCGATGTGGTGTAAAAATTTTTTTTGCCGTTCTTGTGACGTGAGCCATTCACTCAGTTTATACTTTTATATGGAAACGGGTGTTGTGATGTGTCATCTTGTGACGTGGCACTGACCTCATTATTTATGTCATTGGTGTGGTTGACCTGATCCCCAAGGTCATCCTCCACTCTTCCCTATCCCCCCCCCAAACAGTTTATTGTCAAGCTGGTATAGTTGAAGCTGATTTTAACTGATATGAGCAGTATTGATTCAATGTCTTCAGTGTTCGTTGTCTAACTGTGATATATGTACATCAAGACTGCATATCTCCGGGTTACACTGCTTTTGGTCTACTGATACTAGGCTCAGTGCAATCCTTATCATCCGATCTATGTTAGTGAATTATAAAGTTATTGGTAGTGGTTAGGTTAGTGATGCGTGCCTGAGTACACAGTCGTGAGTGTGTCAGACTTCGAGTCCCCTTACTCTTGTAATCTCTGGCCTGCTAACTGGGTGTTAATATTACCATTTTTGTTTCAATTCGATTCTGGAGACCTGAAGTAGGACAGACAAAGTGAATGAGTGTCATGTCGAATAGTGAATCTTATAGTCACTATTTACCCTAATCCTTCGCTTCTTTCCTACCCTATGGTAGATAGTGATTTGGATTCCTATCCTGAGCTGTCCTCAACCAAGCCTGTGGTTTGAACCTACGGAAGGTTTGTGTGTTCTTCAGTTTCATTTTGGTGTATGTGTTTGGATGTGAAGCATACATAGTTTAAACTAAGAACTGTATTGTCTCGTAGGGTGAAACACTGTGTTGCGTGTCACCCCTTGGGCTGAAACACTGGTGTGCATACCGTCATTTGTAACCCCCGTGTGGTGTGTTCCCCCCCAGTGGTGAAACATCTGTGACCATCATTCCATGGGTGATCCACTGTACTGTGTCACTGCGACAGTGAAACACAGCGGTGTGCATCGCCCAAGTACTGAAACATGTGTTGTGTGTGTCAGCTTCACTCATGAAATTTATGTTGTGTGAAACACTGTGTTGTGTGTAGCGAGAGCCTCCGCTGCGGAGCGCTTGTGTTGTCCGCATGATACACCAAATATGTAGTCACTAAGGGCGGGGAGGAGCAGTGAGCCACACCTCACCTCCTTCCCTGCCTCCTGGGCCTCTCCAACACCTGCCCCATGGTGGAGAAGCCAAGACTGCACCTCCGCTCCTCCCCGGCCCTCCAACACTTGCCCTATGGCAGAGGAAGAGCACAGGAAACACTTCGGCTCCTTCCCTGCCCTTCCAACGCTTGTCCCATGGTAGAGGAGGAGCAGAGGCTGCACCTCAGCTCCTCCCCTTCCTCCAGTGCCTGCCCCGTGGCGGTGCAAGAATGGAGTTTCTCCCTCTCCTCTCCTCATGTGACGTGGTGGCTCTGAATCGATCACTGTAGCATCTAGTACCAGCCAAGAGACGTGTTAATCCTATCTGCTTGGTCAGAGAACTCCCCCTTCTCAGTCTTTACCCATACTTGTGACCGATATTCAGTCTTTATCCATACCTGTGACCGATATTCAGTCTTTATCCATACCTGTGACCGATATTCAGTCTTTATCCATACCTGTGACCGATATTCAGTCTTTATCCATACCTGTGACCGATATTCAGTCTTTATCCATACCTGTGACCGATACTCAGTCTTTATCCATACCTGTGACCGATATTCAGTCTTTATCCATACCTGTGACCGATACTCAGTCTTTATCCATACCTGTGACGGATACTCAGTCTTTATCCATACCTGTGACCGATACTCAGTCTTTATCCATACCTGTGACCGACTCCTCATCATTGTCAACTTATTTTTTATAAACGAGACTAATATATTTATTGATAAAGATAATATTTTAAAATATAATTTTAGACTGGATCTTACATCATCTAACACAAACATTTTTATATATATATTTCGTTACCAAAACAAGAAATTAATAACGCATTAATATTGTTGGTGTTACCCTAAATTATTACAAATCTAAAAAGGTAATTCTTTTAAAATATAAATTATATAAATTTATTAAATAATAAGATATTTATTTCAAGTTATAAATCTTCCCTTGGGCCTTTGCGTTATGAAGTTCTTAATGTATATGGTAATAAACGTAATGTTTATACTTCACTCGAGGTTTATATCATGTTTACACTACAAATGAGCAAAGTTCTGGTACTAATGATCCGTGTAGTGTAGTAGGTCAATGATATATTTTACACTACCAACGTAAAGTGCAGTGATCAACCCGTGTGGGGAGGTCCTGCAGGTCAACGAGTGGTGGAGGTTCAGTCCTCCGTCCACGATGCAGACACGCTACCATGCCATGTGGTCCTTCATGGTAGCCATGGTATAAGCTCAGAACCAGTGATACGCTGGGTCACCATCTGGAAAAGACCCGGACTCGGGACAAGACCAGCGAACATACAGTGACAAGATGTGTGTGGTTCCTGGCCATCTAAACGCAAATATCTTGGAATGTGCACAGTCTGATAGCACAGGGTGACGTCCAAGCCACATAGGGTGAAATCCAAGCCACATAATGTGAGGTCCAAGCCACACAGGGTAAGGTCTAAGCCACATAGGGTGAGGTCCTAGTCACATAGTGTGAGGTCCAAGCCACATAGTGTGAGGTCCAAGCCACATAGTGTGAGGTCCAAGCCACATAATGTGAGATCCAAGCCACATAGTGTGAGGTCTAAGCCACATAGTGTGAGGTCCAAGCCACATACAGTGAGGTCCAAGCCACATAGTGTGAGATCCAAGCCACATAGTGTGAGGTCCAAGCCACATAGTGTGAGATCCAGACCACATAGTGTGAGGTCCAAGCCACATAGGGTGAGGTCCAAGCCACATAGTGTGAGGTCCAAGCCACATAGAATGAGGTCCAAGCCACATAGTGTGAGGTCCAAGCCTCATAGTGTGAGGTCCAAGCCACATAGTGTGAGGTCCAAGCCACATAGTGTGAGGTCCAAGCCACATAGTGTGAGGTCCAAGCCACATAGTGTGAGGTCCAAGCCACATAGAGTGAGGTCCAAGCCACATAGAGTGAGGTCCAAGCCACATAAAGTGAGGTCCAAGCAACATAGTGTGAGGTTCAAGCCACATAGTGTGAGGTCCAAGCCACATAGTGTGAGGTCCAAGCCACATAGTGTGAGGTCCAAGCCACATAGTGTGAGGTCCAAGCCACATAGGGTGAGGTCCAAGCCACATAGTGTGAGGTCCAAGCCACATAGTGTGAGGTCCAAGCCACATAGTGTGAGGTCCAAGCCACATAGTGTGAGGTCCAAACTACATAGTGTGAGGTCCAAGCCACATAGGGTGAGGTCCAAGCCATACAGGGCAACAGGCTGATTAATTACTTATTAAAGACAAATAAAATGCGTGGACAGAGTTCACAGGCACCATTTACTGAGAGGGAGAAAAGGCAGTGGGTACTCTCCGGGAACCAGTCAAGTGACGTGTGCTTCACCTCAAAGGCATAACAACAGAGGTCTAAGAATAGAGGCGGCCTACGAGGACCAAACACCCTCTAACAGGGTAGATCAGCGAGAAGAGAAAAGACCATCGTAGTAGGTCCAGCAACTTAAAATCAACCTGCAAAGTGGAAGATGTAATAAGCAACTTAATTAATTCCTGAGGCTGACACAATTCCCACATCTGACACCGACGATTTACGCTGACTGAAAAAGATTTACAGTGGACAATGTGAACGACTGTGCCCTAAATAAAACACCGGAGTGTTTTCTCACTATGGCGTCCACCATCATTAAACATTAAAACACCAAATGAGTCACAAGAAAAACCTGGCTAAAGAAGATCAAAGTCTATTGACTAGGGGCAAGTAGGAGAGATTTTGTTGTCTCTGTGATGGAGGATGAGAAACTTTCCCTTTACGATGGAGTTTTGCTTACCTGGCAACACTGTTCAAGGTGGAGCCTTGCTCACCTGGCAACATTGTTCAAGGTGGAGCCTTGCTCACCTGGCAACATTGTTCAAGGTGGAGCCTTGCTCACCTGGCAACACTGGGAAAGTTGTTCAACATGGAGTCATACCCACCTAACGACACTCCTTAAGGTGGAAACCTAACCACCTGGTACAACCGCTCAAGGTTCGACACAGTTTAGGCTTGGCTAACGATATTCGCTAAACACAGAGGTTGAGTATAATATTGTTGTCAGTGTCATCTGGAACAGCGACATTTTAAAGCACTTTGTAACTAGTAGGTAGTGTAGCTTTCAGAGATGTACTGTGAGGCAGCAGGCAGTAGTGTTAAGGACAAGGGCACATTATCTCCCTGATCTCTGGGTCTGATGTGGCCAGCAACAAACACCACACACACACGCATTACACATACACACCCACACAACCATACATACCCACATACCCACACAGCCCTCACGGCCCTGTTCCCCAACACTGCCTTCCGTGCCCAGGCTCCAATCTCCCTCCCTTTGCCTCCTCATGATAGTTTCCCTTCCTCGTGTTGTTGTTGTTGTGGGGTGGTATGGGTGAGGGGTGAGTCTCCCCATCCCCCAGCCCAATCTCTCCCCAGCATCAGCTCTTCCACACTTCTTGACGGGCGGTGGCTGCCCATCCTCTACACCAGCACCACCCAGATGCCTGAAGGAAGGCGGGAGACTGCGCGTTCCTTACACAAGCACCTCCTTCCTTCCTGAAGGTGAGGGTGTGGTGAGTGCGTGTGATTCAGTATTTCATGAAGGGCCCCCACACGGGAGGGAGGTGTAAGCCTTGTCTGGTAGGCGAGGCTCGGGCAGGAGTACCTCTGTACTGGCAGGGCGTCCACACCCTACACATGACTGGATTAGCGTATGCGTGTACGTATAGGTGCATATAAATACACGCATACGTGCACACATACACAGCGTTGCGAGGTGCAGGTGAGGGGACACTAGGTGAATCAGCGTGACGCGGAGGTCAGGGAAACATGTGCACTCCTTACTACATGGTGCTCACCGCTGGCAGGCACGGCAACGCA